TGGTAGACCTGCACCAGGCTGGGAAGACTGAATCTGCAATAGGTAAGTAGCTTAGTGTGAAGAAAATCAACTGTGAGAGCAATTATTAGAAAAGGGAAGACATACAAGACCACTGATAATCTCCCTCGAATCTGGGGCTCCACGCAAGATCTCACCCCGTGGGGTCAAAATGATCACAAGAACGGTGAGCAAAAATCCCAGAACCACACGGGGGGATCTAGTCAATGACCTGCAGAGAGCTGGGACCAAAGTAACAAAGGCTACCATCAGTAACACACTACGCCGCCAGGGACTCAAAATCCTGCAGTGCCAGACGTGTGCCCCTGCTTAAGCCAGTACATGTCCAGGCCCGTCTGAAGTTTGCTAGAGAGTATTTAGATGATCCAGAAGAGGATTGGGAGAATGTCATATGGTCAGATGAAACCAAAATAGAACTTTTTGGTAAAAACTCAACGAGACGTGTTTGGAGGAGAAAGAATGCTGAGTTGCATCCAAAGAACACCATACCTACTGTGAAACATGGGGGTGGAAACATCATGCTTTGGGGCTGTTTTTCTGCAAAGGGACCAGGACGACTGATCCGTGTAAAGGAAAGAATGAATGGGGCCATGTATCGTGAGATTTTGAGTGACAATCTCCTTCCATCAGCAAGGGCATTGAAGATGAAACGTGGCTGGGTCTTTCAGCATGACAATGATCCCAAACACACCGCCCGGGCAACGAAGGAGTGGCTTCGTAAGAAGCATTTCAAGGTCCTGGAGTGGCCTAGCCAGTCTCCAGATCTCAACCCCATAGAAAATCTTTGGAGGGAGTTCAAAGTCCGTGTTGCCCAGCGACAGCCCCAAAACATCACTGCTCTAGAGGAGATCTGCATGGAGGAATGGGCCAAAATACCAGAAACAGTGTGTGAAAACCTTGTGAAGACTTACAGAAAACGTTTGACCTCTGTCATTGCCAACAAAGGGTATATAACAAAGTATTGAGATGAACTTTTGTTATTGACCAAATACTTATTTTCTACCATAATTTGCAAATAAATTCTTTAAAAATCATGATGTGAAAAATGTGATTTTCTTGATTTTTTTCTCCTCATTTTGTCTCTCATAGTTGAGGTATACCTAGGATGAAAATTACAGGCCTCGCTCATCTTTTTAAGTGGGAGAACTTGCACAATTGGTGGCTGACTAAATACTTTTTTGCCCCACTGTATATATTACATTATAAATCTTGACGCCAACTATTCACTTAATATAAGATCTTTATTTGTAACTACTCCTAAAGAAGAAATGGAGCAATATCTTGTCATTTCAAGCTAAAAAAATACTTTAACAAGTACACTACTGGCAAAACGTTTTTGGACAATGGCTGAAAGGGTAAACACAGTATTTAACTAGCCTTCATTACCCAAGATATCTAGCACTCTCACCGTTGCAGTTTTCTTACGGCCTAACACACACTGTTTTCCAGACACACAGGAAGATGGTTCTTAACCACCTGGGCTGGGTCCATCGACCATCAAAAGATTTGGCCGTGGAAACTGCAGTGCACCGTGTGAACAGGGAAGGAATTCCCAATGACATCATGCCAGAAGCTTTTGGCTCCATAGCGATGTTTCTAACAAATAAGGAGGCAACAATAGGTTACGTACCGGGGCTGTTGACACATGACTACGGGCAGAATGGCTTTTCACTGTTGTTTTTTCTGTGGGACCTTCAACCTGATTGCTTCTGACTTTCAAAAGCTTAAACACAAAGCCACTTTTCCGTGTTTCATGAAGTGGTTTTGTTCATCATTGTTGTCTAAAGGGACTTAAAAAAAGAATCACACTACTATTTCTCATTGGTGTTGATCTTCCCTCATTTGTTCCCATCTCCTCTCCCCCTCTCCATCCTCATCTACCATTGTCTCTTGCAGATTTTCTAACCCCAAGGCCCCTTGCCACACCCATCTCCCCCTCTCCCCTCCACCTCGCCTCTCTCCTCGCTCCTTCCAGTCATCCCTCCCATCTGGCTGCCTCCCCTACAGATGAGACCCTGATAATTAGCCCTGACCTGTTAATGAGCCGTCTAATCAGAGCACTAACGAGGGACAGGAAGGATGATTAGAGGTACTGGAGTTCAATACCTCGCCAGTGGAAGCCGACCAGTTCAACAACTGGCTTCGAGAATCACAGATATATGCAAACGACATATTAAAGGTGTGTTAAAAAAGAAAAAACCCTTATCATTTCTGTTCGTGGCACTTAAAGGTTTGGATTTGCTTTGGATAAATGTGTCAGCTAAATGAAAAGTAATGAATTAATATGCATCTAGCAAATAATTCTAGATTTTTTGTGGGAGTCTGTGCACTGTGTATCACTGCGTACTTTAATTAAATTGACTATTTAATTAATCATTCATTTCAATAGAGCAAAGCTTTGAGAGAACATGTCACAATGACTGTCCAGGGTGTGTGTGTGAGTGTGAGTGTGTGTGTGTGTGTGTGTGTGTGTGTGTGTGTGTGTGTGTGTGTGTGTGTGTGTGTGTGTGTGTGTGTGTGTGCGTGTGCGTGTTATACCTCCAGCAGGTCTATCATGCGGGTCATTTGGGAGTAGATGAGGACTCTGTGTCCCTGGTTCTTTAGCCGACTCAACAGGATATCCAAGGTGTGGAGCTTGCCACTGTCCGTGATCAGGCTCTCCTTATCTAAAAGACGAAGAGTCAGAGAGGTGAGGATCAAAACTACCTGCAGACAGAGTAAAATGACACTTTTTTTGTAGCACAAAATGTAGCATCGCACTGCTTCCCCTAACTAAAAGTCAATACGATTTTTCCAAAGGATTTAGGATTATAGCAGAAAATAAGATCAGTGGAAAACAAACGTTTATGATACTTACATGTTTTGTTCAGCTAAATAATCTTCGCAAATGAACACCATTTCAAAGGGTTTTAAAGAGTAAATGCATTCGCCAGAAGAAATATAGTTAACGTTTCAGCTATAAACAAACTACACCATGGTCACATCACTTCAACACTACTTAGCTTAAGGGGGATTAGTTTCTAGTGTGTATTTGTTATTTAAAATAAAAGCTTCAAAATTCTAGAGTGGGATATTTCTCAATGTATATTATGCCATAGAACCAAAAACTGTCAAAACACCCAAATGCAAAAATTATAACTCATTTCCATGTTTTAGGACTCATTCCAGCAGCACTCTTTATATAACCATAATGGACTTTTTTATGTAAAGAAATCAGCAATCAAAGCTTCTCAAGACATCCTTTCCCCATATTGCAAATATTTAGTATGCGAACATGGCAGAATACGGAACAGCCTTGCCCAATTAATGCAGAGATTATGAACTCTTCCCTAATCAATACAAGTCTTTGTTAAGACTGTATTCTCTAGCATAAAGACCCTTTCACTGGAGCGGATCAACCCTGGATCAATCCTGCTAAATCTGTCCCTGATTGCCGATTGTTTAAATAAAGCATGTGCCCTTATTGACTGAACTGCTGATGAGAGCGCAGAGTGAGAATGAACAAGAGCGATGGAGAGAGAACAAGAAAGAAAGAGAAATTGCGAGGAAAAGCGTGATTTGCACTCCATTTCAAACAATGGCACAAAAGAAGAGCAAATAGGCCCGGCAGTTGGTCTTGGTCACATTACTGCCAGCATCGCATTAGGCGCTCTTTGGCCCTCAAATGGGAAGCAATCTGACCCTGGGTCTGCTGTTCAAGTGGTTCCCTTCATGTCCAGCTGATGAGGAATTAACGTCATCTGGTATAATGGCACAATGGGAAAGAGGCCTGGGCTGCCATCGACCGAGGGACAGGCACACTATGTTGTTTGAACAGAGGTCCTGACCCTGAGCACGAAAAAACCTAAGGCCAGGTCCAGGGTCGGGTGACGGTGTCGGGGTCGGGGCTAGAAGAGAGTACCTATGGGAGCATAGGGCTCGGCCATATTGCGCTCAAATTGGGACACTTGTTCCTTAGCCCTTTTGTAATGTGAAAACCTGGACTTATAATATCCCCACCTTATTTTCTTGCTTTGCCAAAGTAAGGCAACCAACTGAGTTCAAATCACGTTCTATTAACCCACAAAACAAGGCCAGAAAACGTGAACCACATGCAAATCACGACTACCTGCCACAGTGTCTGCTAAACCTAGATATATAATTATTGCTTGAAGACAATCAAAAGCGCTAAGTATTCTGGATGATCCAACAAAACTCAGGGACTGAATCTTTCTCCCTTTTCAACCAGTAGCATTCTATGCTAATGCGTACTCCGGCTGAACCCTGACCCGTGACCCTTTGGTATAGCCCCACGAAAAAGGTCAGGCCCTGTAGAGGTGTTAAAGAGGAACTAATAGAACAGATGAACAGGGGAAACACTCTGGGGAGGTATTGGAAAGCTCACCTACAGGTCACTGTGGAGTGGTGCCAGAATGTCAAACAGATTCAGCCTTTTTGGTCAGAGTCGTAGAGCTCCCATTTGCTGACAGATTGAGGTCTGAATAAGTTTTATTTATGTCTTTTATTTCATTTTGTTGTTTTTTTGCTCCAGACAGCTGGTGTATTGCGGGCATAGTGAATAAGCGTTTTACTATTGTTGTCATTCCTTGTTAACATTCTCAGAGAATGTAAAATAACTAAATTTGGACTCAAACATAGAGAAAAAGACAGTAAAGAGGGCATAGTAGGATAATAAAATATACTCATAACACCGTAATAGCAAGGGACAATATACAAAATCTAAGGCGGACCCAACATAACTTACGACGTACTGTAAGGTAGGCAGTTGTTTGACATTGCTGTGGCTCAATTCGGTATGTACCAAGAGACCAGCGCACCGCAGTCCCTGAGATACACAAACTCTGCATCCTGCCATCAAAGGCCTATAATCGGCCTTGGCGTCAAGTAAGTGGAAGAATTGAAAAGAAAAAAAGGAAGCAAGCGTGAGAAATGTGGAAAAAGTTCCAGACAGAAAGTAAAAGTGGTCTGTGGTGGCTCCGGCTACAGTGAGGCTGTATTAGCACGGTGGCGGCGGTGGTGATGTCGTGGTTAAGATCAGACGTGGCCCTTCTTACCGCAGATGCCAGTATAACCACCGTTGCTGCTCAGTCAAGGGCACCAACCAGCGCTGCGGGGGCCACGCTGCCCACCAACCAGATACAAACCAACATTCAGCAAAGACGCCAATGCTCTATAAGGCGATATTGCTCAACCACTGCTGCCAATCTGTTTCTGTTTAGCAGATTACATTTAAGCTTCTAGACTCCAATGTCACGTTTGAAGCATGTTAAAGCCCCTATCGGAGGATTTCTGTGGCCAAAGAGGACAAAATGTTGTGAGTATTTAATCTGATTCTTGAAGGGCGTAAATTGTAAATCAGAAAATTCCATATTAAGCACTTAAATACTATTATTTCTGTACGAAGAGGCATGTCAGTCAGGGTAATCCTTTTGTTTGTTCCGGGATTATGAAGGAGACCCCTAATAGTAGAGCTCCTTAAGACAGCCACCTTCTGATATTTGACTACACGGTTGATATTCTTGCATTTTGATCTTTGTGTCCTAGCTGAGGGCACTATCTGATCTGAACATATTTGAAAGTCATTGGCATTTAGCTGACCGAGAAATGATTGGCAGAAAGAAGATGCTACATTGCCAAAGGGAAGCAGGAAATCCAACAGTACTGACGAGGCCTTTTTGAAAACTGACTGTTGCTCTGAGACTATCCGCACTCCCTAAAGGCCGGCGATGTGGCTTACAGAGAATGAGGTGGGCGAGTTCAAAATAATTTAGAGCATCATACCGAAAATCCCTATTTCTAAATATCGCTGCCATGACCTATAAAGCGAAGCCAAGAAAATTAGTAATTGGGTTTTAGGGAGAGCTTTGGTGGTCTGCCTCATTCCAACATAACACTTATGGCTTACAGTATAAGCTAAATGTGGCCGCAGAGAAATTCATGACCATTGGTCATAAATGTGAGAAAACAGGAAGCATTAAAAATGTAGCATGAATTACGGAGAGCTTAGAAGGATTCAAATGGATATGTCTATATGTCTAACTCGTGTGGCGATTTAAATACAATGACCTTAGTTTATATGAAATTCAGTAAAAATGTGTTACGTAGTAGTGTTTTTTTCTTTTGCGAAAACGATTACGACATTTGATAGTCAAAGATCTTTTCTTCCATGACAAGACAAGATGGAGAAGACATGACACCAATGTAATTCAACACTAACTGTGACGATATCCAGATGCAATAATGTTGTTTAAAAAAAACGACAAAAAACGACATGTAAAATGTAAACTCAAGCTTTTTTTTTTTTATTTGTCACATTCCACCTTCAGTTCACAAAAAAAAAAACGCACTTAGGCATCCTGTCCATCTATGTCGTCTCATTCTTCATTCGGGAAAATTGTGCTCCTAGAATTCATAAAGTTTGCGGCCTAGGGTCGGTTTGGATTAGTTGATTAAAGCATTTTTGCGTTGCGGATTTGCTCTCGTACCGCCCAGGGCCGGTGAATTTTTCCCAGAAAATAAAACCAAATAAAAAAAAAACTGCCAAAATGACCATTAGTTTTTATATAGCTGAGGGAAAAGTCAAAAGGGTCTCAGCCCACCTCATAAAAAACAGCACATCATTATTTGAATACACAAGTGACAACAACTATGATTTGGATTCAAAAGCACAGAAATGGACACAAAACAACTTTCTAATTGTGGACTGACGAAGAACAAGGCCTGCGTTAAGACCACACCCCAAAAACACAAGCAAATCCCATGTGGTGTCACACCACTCTGCTGTTGCTATGGATACACATATCAAGCTTCACCACCTGCCCTGCCCCCCTCTCATAGCACCCCCCTACCCCCACACACCCACCTAAATCCAATCCAGTCTTAAACAGTGGCCCTCCCCATCTCCTCCCATCCTCACCTCCTGCCGGCAGATTAGGCTACACTCCCCTGTCCCTCCTCTCTCCCCCTTTTCTACCACATCCACAGCACCCTCCAGCTCCCTCCTCTGCTACTACAAACTCCCCCCTGTACACCCTCTCTCCCTCCCCCTACTGTCTGTCCCCCGACAGTGTAATCCAATCCCTGTAGGGCCAGAGCCAGGGGCCTGACACGGTCCTGACCCAATTAGAGGCCTGCTGCCAGCTAATTAACCCCGGCCCAGCCCTGGTGCCTGGCGCCTGATACTCCCAAACCAACTACGACGCTAATTCCATTAATACGCCGCTTCAGTCTTCTGTCCTGTGCTTTCCCTCCTGCTACTGCTGCTGCAAAAGCCAAAGAGCAGAGCCACACCAACCAGGGAGGGAAAGTGGGCCAGATGTGATCGTAAAGGGTGGAGGCGAATGGCAGCGAGATCGTAGAGTGAAAAAAAAAAATAAGTTGATGAAAGAAGATAGATGGGTGGTTATGTGAGAAAGAGAGACAGATGGGGGGCCACAGAGCGGGTCGAATGAGCGATCGAACCTAGCGTCAGCTCCTCACTGTATAATGATACATTACACTGTGCGATCAATAAGTCAATGGGCAACACTTGTTCGGAGCCGCTGATGATGGAAATATTAGCCCGACACTGCTTCGCTGCTTATGCATGTATTGACAAAAATGTGGGACTTAAACTTAATTTTCTCACAGCCGAAGCATCAGTACGGCTAAGAGCCAGATGCCAGCG